TATAGTATGTATGAAAAAAATAAAAAAGCATTGACTGACTAAAAGAAAGAGATTAAAAAATTTACAGACATTGAATACAGACATGTCTGAGAAGATTTTTTTATAATAATTATTTGATTTTTTTCAAAAATAAAATTTTAATCTTCGGTCTCGACTTTGATTTGTATTTTTATTCTCGACTTTGTATCAATTTTTTAATTACTGCTAACTTTTTTATAATTTTTTTATATATTAGAAAAATATTAATGATTTTAAGTAAATCGTGTAAACTGATTTTAAAATGTATAAAATAATAATTACTTTTCTCTTTGAAAAATTAAGTTATTATAAAGTTGCTCAAATTTTATCACTATTATTATTATTATTTATTAAAATACTATTTATTTCAATTTTGTTATTTAAATCAATAATACAGATTGTTTTGGTCGATAACTTGCAATTAAATTACACAATAAAATGAAGGTTGAAATTATTTTGCTAAAAAAATTATATAAAATTTATAAATATATTTAAAGTATTTTACTTGCTTTTAAAGATTAAAAATAATAAATAAAACAAAATGTTAAATATATATTATATAGTATAATGAAAACAAAAATGGGCTGTTTTTCAAAATAAAATTTTAAATTATTTTAATTAATTTAAGTTTGTTTATGAATTGTAAATGAAACTCAGAGATATTTAAATAAAACTTTATTTGATCATAAAATAAAATTAGTGAACATTTTGTAATATAATAAAGGCCTTACATTTTAAGATATTAAAAAATAATAGGTATCTATATTATAAAATAAATTTTTTATTTATTTAAACATTTTAGGCGTCTCTTTAATTTTAATCCAATGTAATACTAAATGTTTTCCGTCTCTTAAAATTAATACTTTGGTTTTACAAATAAATTTATATTTAAAAATTTATTTATTAATGACATTTATTTTATTTTTGCTTATATAATATAATTACTGTAAATGCATATAATTTATTATTAAGATTTGTTTGTCATTAAAATCAATTATTATTATTATTATTATTATTATTTAGTGGTTTTGCTTATCTCAAACTATAAGAATCTTAAGAATGCATTGATTAACAAATAATATGATATTAAGCGATGTTTTTAAAAAATAAAATTTACTTATCATTAAATTTATAATATAAGTAATTTTCAATGATTTAATAAAATAAATAAAAATAAAATCAATATAAACGTACATTTAGTATATAATTATAATTATGTATAAGGTTTGTGTAATAAAATGAGAGATAACAAGAATAGAAAGTTTGGTAAACTTTTTTCAAAAATAATTATTATAATGTAGTTTTTAGATATACTGTATTTTAATATGAATTAATATAAATATATATGTCAAATTGAATTTCAAAATTCAATTTGTCTTTTTATTATTGAATAATAATTTTTGCAGCAATTGTTAGTACAGATAATGATAGTTATTATTAGATAAATTTCATTTTGAAAAATTAAGTTGCGTTTTGTGGTTTAGCTTTCAAATATTGACAAAATTAATAACAAAATAAAAGTTAATATAAAATGTCATTTCATTGTACTCGATGTAAGTTATCTAATATTGATTATATTTTTTCAGTATTTCATCTTTTGATATATAATATTGACTATAAATTATATTCTTATAATATATCTTTTAAAAAAAATGATTGAAAATTGTAAATAATATTTGATAGACTGAGTGTCCAATATATGATTTACTATTATATCGTATGATATCTCAGGTGAAGCGTTTAGGTTATAGAGAAAGTGATGAATCGCCCGAAGAAGTGGTGCACAAAACAATTAAATCTTTATTTCACTGATATTTTCCAGTTTCGTCCCATAATATAGTAGTGACATAAATATTTCAACTGTCGATGAATTGTCTTTTATATGGCACTGGTATATGACTTGAAGGTATTATCACCGAAATAAGTATTTTATATTTTATAGTATACCGTATATAACATATAAATGGTTTTCACTAAAAACGGATTCCTCTATCCCTAAGCTATTATTCATAAGCACTGGAAGAAAGTCATTCAAAAAAAAGAGTTTTACAGATAATAAGCTTTTATATTAAAGTAAAGTCAAGGACAGTCAGATTATGGCTTCATATCAATGCTATATAATATATATTCAACTAAAACATCAAATCAACTCAATTATGAAATACATAAAAATCATATGAATTTAACATACAGTAGTATATTATAGAGTATAATACGTTATACACAATAAAATATACGTAAAGGTAGTCAACTATTGTGTTTAAATATAAGAGTATTGAAATAAAAGCTGATTTTCATTTTAAACTACAGTAATATAACCAATGCTTTACCACTAAATATTTAAACCAAAAAATGTTTTTTATATTTTCGACACACATTCCTAAAAATATTACATTTATATGTTATATACTTTAAGTGTATTTTGTGTTATCAAAAAATAGTGATAAGAAGACTAATAATAATTGTATATATATTTGATATTTATTGCAAAACTATGATATAGTTGTTGAATGAATTGGTATTACAATTGAATGTCTGGCGTAACAAATAGTTGAATGTATATATAAAGTGCAATACATTACTTACACAACTCATAACAATATATATATATATATAAATTTATATAAAGTATATCTCATTTAAATAAATATTCAATTTTCTCGTCAAAGGACAGCCCAACGCATGACACAGTTGTGTGAGTGTGTGTTAGATGATAGACACCTAATATATAAACCCTTTTTTCAAAACAAAATCACATTATATATACAAATGTATATATAATTAATGACAAATCTATATGCATGTGACTATCATATTATATCTATCAATATTATTATTATTATTTTTATCAAACAACTAAAATATTCAATTTAGAGTTGAAAATACATTTATTAAAAAATAATTTATATTTATTTTGACATGTACTATTTTATATAAGCAATTTAAAATAAATAAATCAAATTAATTTAAATATATCAATAAACTAACAGAAATCATGATTAGACAAAATGGGATTATATATAATGTTATGTAAGCGACAACTCTTTCAATGAGATATTATTTTTTTCAATTGAAATTCCTGTAGAAAAACAAATAAAAAATTTTGTAAATAACATCCATAAGAGTTATTTAATAGCATTGACCACAACTGTGCCGACAACTACCTGTGCAGACAACATATGGTCGGGTGATCTATAGTTAAGGCAATCAAAGGGTTGTTAAGGCTTTGTATAGCATTATATAAGTTATGCGATGTCTGCGCTATATTTATGTATGTTTGGTATGCGAGTCAGTGTATGTATGAGTATATGTATGTATATATATATATATATTGTGTGTATGTGTGTGTGTGTGTGTGTGTGTGTATGTATGTGAACCTGATATTGAAGTACTTGAATGAAATGAATGTAAATGTTTTGTAATTTAAATGGCATTTAATATTGAAACCAATGAAGTGATGGTTGAGTGTATGTGTCAGTCAATTGCTATCCAAACATATTATAGACAATACTATGTCAAGCATTGAATCCAATGTATTGTCGCACTAAATGTCTGTCTCTACCTGTGCTTTGCCTACATATATATCATATATATAGTCGACTGTCTGTCTGTATATGCGGTCAACTTAGTAATGAAGTTAATATATTAAAAGTAAAATTATAATGCATTTGAATATTTGGCTGAAATTTCAATGATTTGCATAATTATATGCAATCAGTGTTGTTGTCGTCCATTGAATGCTATGTTTATGTTCTCCACTAATAATACAAGCATTGCATTCAATTGCACTAACAGTACATACAGTCAACACTACATACAATACCTATAGACTGAATGTAGTACTCACTGACTCAGTGACTCACACAACACATACACACATAGTATATGTTATTTCAATGTATTTATTATTCAACATCTGTTTGATTTGGCTCTCATTGAAAGTCGTCATCTGATTGGTCGCCGGCTTCACTCAGCAGTACTATTGAGAATTAGCCAACACTTCACACATTAATACTAAATAACATATGTTTGCCATTCATTTGACCGAAAATACTAATACAAACATAGTATACACACCGGTAGACACCCGTCGGCACTATAACTAGGAGTCAGTTGGCCAGTCATGGCCAGCAATAGCCGATTCAATGTTGAGACGTTTGCAAATCTCCCAACCGATGACATCCAGCTGTTTCCCGCCCACCAGCTGACGGCAAACAGGCAATAAACAGACGTTACACTTACGGACCAAACATCAAACACACCATTTTGGCGCCAACATACCTGTCCTCATATACGTACACATCATTGTCATCATAAACATACACATTATATAACAATCAAAATATACTATATATTAACTATAGGTACACTCAAAGTCTACACTTAACAAGTGTATGCATACATGTCTATCAAAGTTTCACTAACATTCATATACTTATATTAAAGCAATAAAGTTATCTAATATAGCATTCATAGCATATATATTATATAATATTCTCAATAAAGTAATATTAGTTTACAATTAATTTAATTATTAATTAGAGTCACTTAAGTCAAGTAAATGTAATTTTTATACCAAACATGTGTTTAAATTAAAGGTCAAATGTTATAGTAATTGAGTGCCCGATAGAGACACGTCTGCTATACGACTCTCAGCTGATGTACAGCTTATAGACGGCAATGGTTTAACTATAGAGAGTGTGGAAATAGAGGCAAACACACTGTGTGTATGTGTCGTTATATTTGGTTATAATTAATGTTTAATTTGGTTTAATTGGTATTTTTGTGGTTTGATTGACTCAAATAAATGTTTTATATAATTATTAAATGGTTTGAATTGTGTATGAATTGACATTTGATTGATATATGAATGTATTAAATGAATGGACACTCTATAAGGTGTGTTTGGCGCTCATAGTGTGTGAATTGGCGCTGCATTTGGTGAACACATTGAATGCATTGAAAGAGTGCGCCATTTATTGAGTGCTTCACTGCTGTCAGTGTTGTTGTGTGAGTCAGTGTATGTGTTGTGTATGTGTTGTGTCGATCAACACAAACAGTGCTTATATTAGGCGTCTATTACAACATAACTAACTACCAGTGCTTCGGACAAAAAAGTCAATGAAATAACTGATTTAAACAGTGATTGTATTTTTGATTAATTAGTCAATCAATATATAGTATTTTTCAGTGTAAGTGATAATCACCTCAATTGGTACTAATGGTTAATATGACGACAATAAGTCGTGAATCGCTTCACAAGTAAGTCCTAATCCAATGGACCGCTGCTTCACTTTTGCCACTATTATTGCAAACATTAAAGCCAATGCCTACCTGCCTGTCCTCTCATACCTACTACCAGTGCCTCTCATATGCTCAACAAACACATCAATACATACATAACATACCATACATATTGAAATAACACATGTTTTATGAAATGTGTGCTATTTTTAAATTGATATTTCATTTCTCAACTATTCCTCTAATAATTTTTTAATATAATATAATATAATATTTTATTTATTATTATATTTATTAATATTAATTAATATTATGCTATTTTGCTACATATCCTATATATTTGACTATAATTTATATATTTATATCATATATAGTATGTATGTATGTATTGAACACGTTTTGTGAACTCAAAAGCCTATCAATCAATACTTGAATACTATATAATCTATGGTATTATATATCATATGTGTTATATAGTATATATTTATTGAGAATAAGCATATAAATGATAAATACTTTATAATTAGGAAAATATAAAAGCGTTTATAAATATGAAAAATATTGACAATTTTGACTTTGAATGCATTGATCATATGCTTCAATGATATGACATATATTGACAATTATAATACAAAGTTTTTATCGCAATTTATGTCCCAGTATTGTATAAATGCGTTTACTTAATGATGAGCACACCATTAGTCGACAATAGCCAAGGAGTATCCCAGATCTGACTCCCGGTGCTCTCTATGTATGCATAATAATAAATTGAATATCTATTGCAAACATTGTCTGTAAACACGACTAAATTGATGTTATATATTATATTAGTTATATAAATATGTTAATAATATTTAGTGTACATATATTATAGATACAGTATATAAATATATTACATAAAGTATTTAATATTTTTGTTTACAATTGAATTGATGAGAGTGTAAGTTATATATAAGTTGTTAAATACTATTAATATCTAGAAATAGTGTTATATTATAGTAAATGATGTAAAAATAGTTGGTTATAGTAATAGTGTAGTCGTATATATTGTTATCATTGACTGTCGTATGGTATGTATTACATGTAATACATAGAAAGTTTATAAGCAATGTATAGCCAATGTAACCTTGGATGGGATCAATTGACAGGAAACGGATAGATATCTTTCCTTAGATGACATGCATGTCTGTGCCATTGATTTTCATTAATGACATCCAATATACTCTTAATACCAATGAATTGCTACTAAAAAGGGTTCATTGCATGTCTGCCAATATGTGTCTATTATACTGGAAATTTATATAACTTTTATCTGTAAATGTTATAAACACTATATAGAGTCAGTGATTGTATTTAATTTATTAAATACACACAATTAAGTTGATTTGACATAATGTTAAATAAAACAATGTCGCCAAATAGTATATAAGCTGATTGTTAGATGAATCACTGTTTAATTAAATAGAGGGGCGAAGTATGAGACAGCGCCTGTACTCACACCCACCCCATAGCGCACTGTTATGTTTGTATGTGTGATCATATGTTTGCTATCGTCTAACATATGATTAGACTAGTATTACAGCTATACTATGAGTCAATAGCTATGATTTGATATAAACTGTCAAACATATGAAACATATTTAATAAAATGATTTATTTATTTATTGAATTAACAGACTATCGGGACGACCGGTTAGTCCTAAGAGTCAAATGGAGGCCGAGAAGCGGATTCGTCGTGAGATCGCTAACTCTAATGAAAGGCGAAGAATGCAAAGCATTAACGCGGGTTTCCAATCGTTGCGGACATTACTTCCCCATCACGACGGAGAAAAACTTAGCAAAGTTTGTCCACAACTGTTATCTACTAATTGATTATATGATTCATCAATTGTCTTGTATTGATCCATAGGCTGCTATATTACAACACACGGCTGATTACATCTATCAGTTAGAACAGGAAAAGACACGACTATTAGCTCAAAATTGTCAATTGAAACGACTGGTCAACAATCAAATGGCTACTGAAAGTGATGTTTCCAATGATAATTCACCGCTTCATAAACGAATTAAGATTGAGAAGAGCTCTATACCCATGACTGTCGACTCATCCGACTCTTCAGATGAAGTGGTCTGTCGTAGTCCTAAGTCTTCTTCTATGGTCGATAACGCAGACCTCACCAATGATGACCTCAAGCGAGAAATGGTTGAACTCAGGCTACAGTTGGATAGAGAGAGGCGTTTAAGGATGTCATTGGAGGAACAAACACGAGCTCTTGAGACTCAATTATATCCAGAAAAGATCAGAGAAATTGCACATAATATGCAATATAAATACCAAACGGTTAGTTAATATATATATAATCTATAATAACATTCATTAATCTTAATTTGTTTTTTAATATAGAAAACATTGAACAGTTGTCAGGAGATATCTGAATCTGAGTTGGCATCGGATGACGTATTCAGCGAAACGGTTGAGATTGAAGCGGCCAATAGTTGTCCGACGAGTCCGTGTACAGAATCGCCGCGAGCATTCACGGCCGCCATAACTAACACCCCCACCATTAAAACCATCAAAACAGAACCCATTCAATCAGACATTCAACCTCAAGATTTGTCCGCCAAATCAATCAGTTGTTCGCCTAAGAAGACTTCTCCTCAACCGGCGGCTATAGCTCTGCCAATTGATGTTCCCTTTATTACGACCGACAATGTTGACAGTGGCGTTACGCTCGAGATAATTGATTCGACCGGAACGGGTTATGGCAGTACTTCTCGACAAAACTTGGATACAATTGTTGAAGCCATCAGACATCTGGAGGGCGATCATCTCTTTAGAGACGACGACAGTAAATACAAATATGATGAACAGATACCAGAAGAGGAAAGTAAGTCATCAAATGCTACGCTCTCACCATCGCTGAGAACAGTGTTGACGATGAGTCCCGAACAGTTCGGTGCTATCAGACATCAGGTAATCCAATTGCAGAGACCAAACGTGATTGTCGCCAATCACGCATAGAGTTTGACCATCAACTCTGGCCACTCATCAACTGTCCATTATATCACTTCAACTGTCGGGGCATCACAAGTAAGACAAGTAAACCAATATAAAACATCATTTTGATTACCACTATTGCTCTCAATTTGAATATATATATATATATATATATATATATATATTTTTATAAATATATGATAATTGTGTATACATTCTATAATTGTATATCTTATATAATATCGTAAGTTGAAATTCATTAATCATCTTAGCTTTAAAAACCATAACATGTATTTTGTGTGCATTATCATTATATTATAATTATTTGTATTTTCAATTATTGTATTTAAATGTAAAATATTTTATAAGGAATTAATCTTCAAAACATATTTAGAGCAAAAAATATATATATAAATTCTTGTCTCAAATTTAATCACAAATATATTGATAAAATTGAGTTAAATGATTAAATACAACATTGAATTCCAGTTCATTACAATACAAGAGAGTTTACTCACAACTTGTATATCGTTATATCATTTATTAATATATTAATTTCATATTTGTTTTATTGAAAAAAAATTATCAGTCAGTTTTCCGTCTGATTTATCGGAAAACTTTAAACAAAACAAACATTTAAATCATTTGTTAAATTATGAAATAAATAGAAAACTTAACATAAGTTCCAAATATATGAAATAATGGTTCCTTTGCATTTGCCATTTAATTACATTACATTTTTCATTATATATTATTATTGTCTCGTTTATTATTTTTCATTATATATTTCATTTTCAATTTGTATATTTTGTCATATTATTATTATTATTATTATTATATACATTTAAAAGTTTAGTTAACTTTTTTTCGATTATCGCATCGTTATAAAAAATATATAGTTTTAGTTGTGAATAATAAAGAAAACGATATTATATTGTAATTTAATAATAAAGGATTTTTTGACTACAATTGGTAATTGAAGCGTTAATTATTATACTTTTTCACTGATAACAAATATATAAATATTATTATATAGTATTTATTATATACTCTGTATAATGAAAAGCATTAGTTGAGTATAAAAAAGAGTAGAAGAAAAGTAAATTTTTAGGGATAAATAAAAGAGTATAATCTATAAACATTTATTTAATATTATAATATATGATAGGATGATAATAGTAATAATAATGTGAAAAAGATAGAAACAAATTTTTTGGAAACAAATATGAAAAAATTTACAATACATTTATAATGGTATGAAAATGTATATTATTATACTTAAAGGATAATTTAAAGAAGCTATAAACGCATCCATCGTAAGCATTAAACAAATTTTTTATTGGGTGTCTGACTATAAAAATGTTTTATAGTATAACACATACAATGTATTGTATTTTTTTCATATAAGACATGCAAATGATTGCCTCAAATAGGACTAAAAGAAAACGTTTTATTATATTAATTACAATAAGTTATATAAATATAATAGAAAAATAATTGTATCTCAATATAATAACCCGGGATAAACTTGCTATTACTTATCACTGTATAAAACATCTCATATATTGTATTATTATTATTATTATCTTATATTTCCATTCATTTGTAAAACTTGAAAAGTAAAATTGTTAGCCATTAAATCATTGATTATTATTATTATTATTATTAAAATTATTAAAATTTACAGTTTTATCTATAGTATATTATATGTTGCAGTTAAGCGAAATTATATTTAAATAATATTTTTTACTATAATTATATAATGATTTTGAAATTTTAAATAAATAATATAGAAATTTAATTTAATAGTGATAAATAGTAGTATTAATAATTATGATAATAATAATATGACCTAAAAATGATTTTATGTGTGTTTTGACTGATTGTCACATTTTGTATGATTTTTTTTGTATAATTGTAATGATATTAAAAGTGTATGGAAGCGGACATACAGTTAAGGCACACATACACTATAAAGAGTGTATTTAAAATATTATAGACATATCTGTATTTTAAATCTTTTAATAAATGTGATTTTGATTGTGTGTTCAAAAATTAAAAATACAAAACAAAATGATTTATTATTATTATATTTGAATGACACTAAATAATAACAAAATAGACAAATTTGAATTAAATTAATAAAACAATAAAAATTTACTATTATTATTTTTGTTTGTCAATAACCAATGATTTTTAATGTTAATTGTCTATTATGGTATATTTTATCTCATTTACTGTAGTCTATTAAAACATATTTATATTTGTATTTAAATTAATTAATTGTCAATATTGCTATACTATATCGTCTAAAACATATTAAACTAACGATTTAATGTCAAAGCAAATGATGCTTCAAATTAAAGTGCATTTCTAATGAATTAAATGATGGTTTAGTTTGGTTTGCCATACACTGAGGCTAACTATAAAAATATATTAATGTCAAATATTTTTCTTATTAAAACATTATATTAAATACATATTAACACAACAAAAATAGGTTATACACTAAATATATTTGAAAATCATATTTAATATTTGATTCTTAATATAAAATGTTTTTTTAGTTGTTGAAAAACACTTGACAAATGTAATTTAGTTTACGTATGTATAATATGTTTACAGTTAAATCAGTTTGATTTCATTTACTCATACCTACTGCTGTATGCAGTTTCACATACAAAGAGCAATGTTTTGTCGGCAACATTACAATACAATAGATGACCGTTTGACTAATATTTTAATATTTTTAATTTTTATAAATAAATAAATGTTATGTTATGTCATCCACTACTATATAATTTAGCAAAAATTATAATTAAATTACATTTGGCAAAGAATTTTGTGAAAAAATTTATTTTATACTATTGTGCAATAGGTATTATGCAACAGTTTAGTAGGATAGGATTTAAATTTATAAACTAGCATATAATAATAATCAACATTATTGATTAAATTAGACATTTTTATAATTTATGTCAATTGTATGAACATATAGTTGATAATTATATTTGTTGTATAATTATAATATATTTATTGATGTCATGAATTATCTTAATATATGACAAAAATTTAAGTTTAAAAAATCATTGCTCAAAACCTATAGGTATAAATTATATTATGAAATATATTATTATTGATTTCTAATTACTACATAACAGTGTATTATATATAGTGTATATATATATTGTCTCAAATTATGAATTATTGCAATCTCTTTATCAAAAGCAAAGTCCACTTAAATATATATCCATTTTATTATTGTTAGCGGAGGTCAAGTTATTTGAGTATTATATATATATATGTATATATTGATAGATAAGATATTTCATTGATTCATCAAAATTGCATTTAATTTGATACATCATTTGTTTATAATATATTTACTGTTGTATTCAATGTAAAAGAGAAAAACAAATATAAAAATTTTATGTTAAAGAGTTGTCATTCATTATGCGATTAAAATAAACACAAACACTGCGAGTTGCGGTTATCTCTCTCTCTCTCTCTCTCTCTCTCTCTCTCTCTCTCTCTCTTCCCTTTGATTTATAATAAATTATTTTAAATAAAATACGAATGAAATAACTGTTTTAATGGTTTGGCGTGCGTTGTAAAGCCAGTATAAAAATAGTATAATTAGGAATTAATAATGTTATGACAAAAAAGACAAATAAAGTTAAAAATAATATTTGAATTTAGATAATAAAATAAGTGAAATACAAATAAAAAAATTAAGTTTACTAATACTTATAATATTAAAAAATAAATATTATTTGTAATATTTATGTAACCATTAATAATGGTTATATAAGTATTAATATTATTTAAGCGAATTGGTTCTCATTTATTTACTTAAATATACTTATAGTATATATAAAAATATATATTTGTTATATTGCTGTATGCGTTACATAACACCAAAAATCTTAGAATAAAAATAAATTTCATGTCATTTGATGAAATAATAATACATTTTTTAAAATTTGTATTAATTTTGTTGTACAGTAAGAAAAATTATAATTAAATAAAAAAATAAATTTTAATTCAAAATATTTTGTTTTGTTGCTATTTAATTATATACAATATAGACATATTGTATATACTGTATATATACTGTATTTAACGATATTTTTTATTTTATCATTGCTTAAAAATTATGTCATTTTTTATTAAATGTCATTAGACTCGCATTTTAGGCATTAATTTTAGTACTATAAGTATATTTGTAATATATTTAATACAAATGTATAGATCAATGAATTGAGTGAATAATAAAATAAATATACATTCAGTGTATTCCTGTTGTGAGAAAGATTCCTATTTGAATAAAACAATGCAAACGAATACTAATAATAGAAGTAATAGTAATCATAATATCTATAATAAAAAGAGCAAATTTAATTATTTTATTATAGAAATTATTTTTATTTTGTTTATATGAAATACAAAAAAAATAATAAATAAATGAAATAGATTTCAAACAATACAATAAAACAAAACGTTTTTTCTTTCAGTTATTCTTTACAATTGGTGTCAATAGTATGCAAACATATGACTGCATTTCAAATGTCAAAATATGTTGTTTTCTCTCTACTGTATATACAGTACTATATATACCAGTATATAATAATTGCTGTTTTGCTAAACATCGAGAATATAAATACATTATATTTATAGATATCTAATCAATGGATAGGCTGTTATGGAAATTAAATGTTGTTTTTTGTAAATATGTATTATATGTGTATGTTTTGTTATATACAGTACTTGATGTGATATTTATTGAATATTAGATGAAAAATTGGACCGAAACTTATATATACGGTATGTTGTCATTTGTAGGTATAATTGCAATCAATAATTACTTCTGATTAAACAAAAATCTATAGTAATGCAAATGTATTGTCTATTTTTAAATATTTGTTAATAGATTAGCTTCATATAAACTGCTATCTATTTTTATGGGACTCTTGTATAATATTGAATGTTTACTTGTTATTAACATAGAAATAGGCTATGTTTGATATAATATTGCTTATACATAGAGGAGAGAGAGAGAGAGAGAGAGAGAGATTTGATAATTAGATGAGCGCCTCATTTGCTCATCTGATTTGTCTCACGAAAGCACTGGTATTAGTTGATTAGTGGCACTCAATGGCAATGGATTGCCAATGA